ACAAGTCGCAACATTTTCCAGCCACTGAAATTCAGAGCCAGAACCTATATTTAAGATCGTAGTGGCCCGGAGGATTAAGACGCCCGCTTCTCATGCATGAGGGTGCGGGTACGAAACCTATCAACGGCAAGTACCAATGTGACTTTTTCCGAGTTATAATATGTATGTACTTTCTAAGATTATCTAGACACCACTGACAAATGATGAAGGAAAACATTGTGAGGAAACCTGGGCTTACAATTTCTAATTATAAGTTTTTAATCGCCAACCCGCATTGAGCAAGCGTGGTGATTTATGCTCAAACCTTCTCCGTGTGAGAAGAGACTTTGCTCAGCAGTGGCCACTTATAGGCTTTTGAGGATGATGATTGATGATATGAACCTACTATTTATAGAACCATCATAAAAACACAGAACATAAGGCAATCTGGTGCTACCCAGTTATCAACTAATTTATTAGCTTAAACTGTCAAACACCAAGCGGTCACCGGTGACCGCAACCTATTGTTCTATAATTGTGTCTACAAAACCGGTACTCGACGAGTTAAATATGTTATAATATCTACCTACTTCAAGATATCTAATGATAATTTAAAGTATTCCTTAAGTCGGACGGAGGTAAATATTTTTAACATCCTTGATTTATTTTATTTTATGGGATTAGCCGGTAATCGTCCAGACGGATCACCTGATGGTAAACAATTGGCGTCGCCCATGGACACGTGGAACACCAGAGGCATTACAAGTGCATTACCGGCCTTTTGGGGATTAGGAATTTGAGGATTGCTCGGTATTTGGGGATTGGAGAGATTAGAGATGGGTAGGGGGGTAATTGGGCCTCCGGTAACCTCACTGACACGACGAAACACAACGCAAGCGTTGTTCTACGTTAGATACTGCAACAAAAGACATTCTGCGTATTCCTACGTTTTCACAGGTACCACCTAATTTACTACGGAACCATGCCAACATTACTCCAATATTAATACCACAGTAAGATGTTAGACTCGTAAATCTAAACTAGTATCGTGCTGAGTGTCTGCCCGCCACGCCGTGTAACCACACGGAATGTAACTGTTACTATATTTATTACAAAATAATTATTCCCAGCTATTATTTCATTAGCTTCATTACTAAACTTTATATGTGTTGTCTGTATTAATAGATTAATTTCATTATATTTACAAATATTACACATGCGAAAGTTCAACGATTTGTGTGTATTTCCTTTATGTTGTAATAGAGTATTTAATTATAATATGATTTTGTCTCTAAATATTATAGTCAGGTGGCTGGAGAACTGAGTATTTTTTAAAGGAATATTTTTTCTTTTGACCCTTTTTTTCTGATAATTATGACTGTTGCCACCCTACGAAATGAGTCAATGTCAGAAATTCAGAATCTTTTTAACTTATAACCATTCTGTTTCAACTCTGCTTTGAGCTGGTATTTGAGAGTGAAACCTTAAATAGAAGTCCAATAGATTTAAACCTTAAGTAGGTACCTTTAGCAGAAAGTAAAAAGACAGGCGACAGTTCCAATAATGGTAGGTAAAATATATTGTGAAACAAGTGAATTTATTTCTGCAAATAGGCTACAAGGCAGAACTCACAGAAATACTACGTGCAGCAACGCTTGCGTTGTTCGTCGTATGAGTAAGGTTACTAGAGGTCCAATCACCCTGCCCTTCCCCAATCTCCTCTATCCCTGAATTTCCAAAGATCCTCAAACTTCTAATCCCCAAAAGGCCAATTACGGACTTGTAACGCCTCTGGTGTTCCAGGTGTCCATGGATGACGCCGATTGCTTACCATCAGGTGATCCCTCTGCTCGTTTACCGGCTAATACCATAAAAGTAAACTTTTACTCGTCAATTTTATCAAGCGAACAATAAGGACGAAACCGATTGAAACTATTCAATTATTTTGATTTGACAACTGTTTTACGACGCAGCGTTTTCCTAACGTTAACATCACAAGTGTATAATCATACTAGTATTACCAAACAGTCGTGCGTAGAACATATTTATTCGTGCAAAACGCACCAATGAGACGGAAGCGTACACTTCCATACTTATTTGTTAATTACTCACACTCGCATGGATTTACGAAAGTGAATGTTTATTTGTGTTTGGGATCTACGGGGCGGCAGTTTGAGCGTCGTCGCTGCGTTTTTGGTTACTAAGGAAGGTATTTTTTTTTAAGGGGGGAAAATCATCGAATGACCTGGGTGAGGCGGGAGGGAGTGTCAGACTCTTAGTGAGTAAGGTATATCAGAATGGTTTGGCTGTATATTATACATACGTTTCAAAAATGGAACGAATTCCTTAGCCAACGTCATCGTCATGATAGGCAAAATACGTCTACTGCTTAAAAGGCCTCCTTCAATATCTAACGTAGTTTGGTTCGGGCCTGCGGACGGCGAGCATGGGTGGCTCCCCGTCCGACCAGAAACAGACCCGAGCCATCAGACCACCACAGATGGGGCCCAATAGGGCCGATGCCGATTCGGAGTCGCGGAGAACCTAACGGGTAACTGCTGAGTTTCCAAGCGATCATCGCTATCCATTTACTCCATTATAGACCTTATTTTAAGGGGGTCAAATCATACAATGACTTCTCTTGCCCGGGTGAAGCGAGAGCGAGTGGCAGACTCGTACTGACTAAAAATCACCCCGTTCCTACTCCTGCACTTTGAGCTAGAACCCTGGCAACCCGTTAAGTCCTCCGAAGCTCAGTATCGGCATCCGCCCTATTGGGCCCCATCTGTGGTGGTCTGATGGCTTATTTCCGATGCTTGGAGACTACTCTTGTGTGAACAAATATTGTGGATTTAGAAGTTAATATTTGTTTTTATTAGGTGATGTTTGTAAAATCATCCACACGAGACTACCAGCCCAGAATTACCTTCCGTATATTTCAAAAGATGTCGTGTATCAATTTATAGTAGTATTTAAGTTACTTTAATTTGTCTTCGAACCTGTAATCAATCTTTGTATTGCTAACATTACTGTTGTTCATTTAGAACTAAGTACTAAAGTCGACATTTTTAAACGAAATCAATCATGTGTATTCATATCATTAAATATATCAAATATACAAACTAAAATCGAACGCTAATTAAGCATCGTTTACCCGTTACCCGTTAAGTTAAGGGAGGCCCCTCCGGCTCGAAGTGCAGGAGTAGAAACGGGGTGGTTTTTAGTCAGTAAGTCTAACACTACCTCCCGCCTCACCCAGGCGGGAGAAGTAATTCGACGAATTTTTCCCCATTTAAAAAAAGCAAAGCATAAGACTTCCATTATAATAGATAATTGGGTTCCATTCCATTATAAGATTGGATGATGTAGGTACTTAGTTGAGTGTTTCTCACTTGTCACTTATATTTAAAACCAGTATAAACTGACTGTTTAATTAAAGAGAAGATCATAGAAACTGAGACCATGATAAACTTGACATTAAGTACTTGATAAAGTGGCGACTGCATAAACTTGAAGTTAAGCATCTAGTGATCCGCCAAACATGTTCTAAAAATAAAATTGCGTCCTCAAACATTTCAATAAAATAAAAGCATGATGTTCGGAATTAGGCGGGTATTTGTGTATCCAAGGTGTACACAGCCACACATAAATCTATACAAAACCAGTTTATCCTGGTGTCGCGTCGCATCATCTTTCCGCACATTTAACGTTCAGTTTATACTGGTTATGTAAAGCTCGATGTGTAGCCGTGTGTACCAATCATTGGCCCGTGACAGAACACCTGTGAACGAAGAACGAAACGCCTTTTCTACAAGATATGAAACTTGATATATGTATCTATTTAGATTACTACCTTTACCTACACTCACACTTAGTGCGTTGATGTCGTATCATACCGTAACACTAAAGGTAATAAGGCACCTTTAGCTCACCTAGATGCAGTATTTATGAAGCGAATAAAGATTACCTACTTAATACAATGGGGATGATGACAGGGTATGAAAATTAAAAATATAATTAGTCCGTAACTTAGGTAATAAAAAAATATTAGACACGTATTTTTTTATTTTGTTGTATAATAAAACAATACTTAGATAAAACGAATCAAAGTTTAGGAGTGGGGGCTAAAACGTCATTTCTTAGTATAAAATGTACTGAGAAGTGACGTCACGCGACATTTCAAATCAATATATCTTCGAAACTATTCGTTTCCGTAAGAAAATAAAAAATACGTGTCTAATGTTTTTAAATAATCTACCAGACGGACATTAAAATAAAAATTAGTCGTCTACCCCATTATATATTCTGTCAGTATAAAAAGATAACCTGAACATAAACAGTGTTAGTTAATTTTATTTATTAAATTTTATAATAAATCTCAACGAGTTTCTACTACAAGCGGAAAAGCTACTATCTGTGGAAAATTTCTACGAAGTTCTAACATTTGCCGGTAGATGGCGGTAGTCTCAATTTCAACATTGTAAACAGTTAAGTCTATAAGTTAAGTATAGCTTCTCATTCGTTACTAGTTTGCGATAAAATGTAACTTTTTAATTAAATTACTTAACTAGATTTTAAGCACCTATGCTTACAGAGAAAATGTAGCTTACAGTCTATGCTATTGTTATCCATCTCCGATCTTCCACTAATGCCCCTATATTAGCAAGGATTTCCTCAAAAGTGGTTTCCCTTAAAATAAATTAACACAATTCTGTAATTTCTTTTATTATTTAATAACCTGTATAAATCTTTACATCATTATTAATAAATTACAAAATCTATTGTCATATAAATTCACCATTAAAATATCAATGTTAATTTAAATTACAATGATAATAACTATTACGTGTAAATTATTTTATTATTGAGTATTCAGGCACAAATAATTAGCAATAAATTAAAGCAAAATAAATAAATTAAATAAACAGTCGTAGCTTAAAAATTAAAATAAATAAACCTTTTTATAAAAAGTACCAAACATCGTTTTTAAAACGATTATATTATCATTTATACAAACCATTAAAAAGTATTTAATAAATAATAATAATTTAATCAAATGTATTTTTTAATAACGAGACATGAGTTCTAAGTAGGTGGGCATACAAATTGTAGCATTTTTAAATTTATAAATAGAACAACACGTCCCGTTAATAAATTCTAAGAAATTCATTAAAAAAATGTATTTATAAAACCTACAAATTCGCTCTAAAATTTGAATAAACGATCAATGATAATACCGATTGATAGTGAGTATAAATTGGATTGATCAATCTTAAAATAGAAATAATATTTCGTCCCTCCCTAAATGTCAGTAGCATTTACATTTTTACCGAGATTGTCGTTTTTACGATCGAATGCAGAATAGTAAAATAAAGGTAATTTATTGAAAGGTTCGTGTCACGATCGGTTTTGTGAGTTGCTAGTCGACCTCCTATTATTATGGAGTAGGTATTTACGGCAGAGCATTGCGATTGTTGTTCGAATAAATTCTATACGTATTTGAATTTACTGATCAAGATCACGTTTTACGATGTCAAAGGCCTTGTCGTTGATAAAATTTTGCAGAGTTAGGAACAGAAGCCAATATTTTTTTTTATGGAATAGGAGGCAAACGAGCAGACAGACCACCTGATGGTAAGCGAACAGTGCCGCCCATGGACACAGAGGAGTCACAGATGCGTTTGTTTTCTCAGGCCTTTGCCAACTGACAGAGAACCATTGAAGCTGAATCATTTACTGATCGCTTGTTGCGATTGTTAAGGGCCACCCATTTTTTACCACTGACAAAGAGACTTAATATCGACGAAATAATATTATTATTCTGAAACAATCCTTTAACTTTACACATCACTCTCAGTCAGCACTATTAATCCCCTATTCCCTTTTATAGGCGGAGTAAGGAAGGTCGTGGTAGGAACGTCTGTCCCAGCCCCCACTGCTGCCACCAGAGGACCAGCCGTGACTCTCATGTCCACCTCCACCGCCACCACTCTTCGCAGACATCAGTTTCTTCAGCAGCATGATGCCGGAGAGTAGGAGGGCGATCTGGAATTGAGATAAGAATTTTCTTAGCAGTTGATAAAGATAGTTATTGAGTCTGCCTTATTTCATCAATATTCTTGTTTTTAGTCTATTTTATGCTTTACCTTGTTGCTAGATAAGACTGATTTTCAGTGTTATTTTGTTTGGAGAATTTCCTTATTTAATCTTATGTAGGTACGTACCTCAGTACTTTACAAAACTCAGTACAGACTTTTTATCATAATACTCATATTATGATAAAAAGTATGAAAAAAAAAAGAAACATGATTAAAAACAACAAGAAGTGCAAAACAGGAATGTTTTTAAAATGCTAACAGAAATATACTACTAGCACCAACTACATTTCATCCCTTTTATGTAAGAGAAATTCATTTGTTTTCAAATAATCTTAAACTTCTTGAACAAAATCTTAAAATTATAGAATCTAAGATCGCTTTGTTACAAACATCGATAGCATCTAAGCCCTACTCGTCCGACAATGCGAACCATGAATGCATTGGAAGCAAAAACAATATAAATCAAATTCTCAGTAAAGGTACTACAAATACAATTTGTTTGTTCCTCCTGGCGTGCTCCCAACACATGCTTGTAACATTTAGGTATCGTATCTAATCTCCTTGCACATCGCAACTGCATAAACATGTATCTAGCTCGTCGACTGCACTTCTATGGGTTTTAGTTCAGCCAATTTGCAACTAGTGTTTCTTGGTATCATTGTACCTTGAATGCAGGTGAGTGTTGATTGTATGAAATCTATTATGTTGAAAAATGCAACTGTTTACAATAAAATGTATTGTATTCTGTTATGATTTTATTGTTTTTTTTTTTATGAAACATGTGGGTGGTACATGATGTTTGAATCTAAGTTTATTGAGTTCATCAACAGCCTAAAATGCCCACTGCTGAGCAAAGCCTCTTCTCACACGGAGAAGGTTTGAGCATTAATCTACTAAGCTTGCTTAATTGGCGATTACAAACTTATAAATATAAATTATAAGCCCAGGTTTTCTCACGATGTTTTCCTTCACCGTTTGCCAGTGGTATCTAGATAGTCTTAGAAAGTACATGTAACTCGGAATAGTCACATTGGTAGGTGTCGAAACTGCATGAGGGTGCCACGAGTTTATTGAATTACATTACATAATAAATTGACATCATCAAAATTTGAAGGTAGAAACTATAGCTTTACATAAATTCGTATATTTTAGTATTAGTCGTAGTGGCTTATAAATTGAACATTGAGAGAGAAGTATTAAGGCTTTATTGAAATTCATAGATGGGTGATTATATTTTCGTATGATGAAATGCATGCAATTGACGTAATAGGGATGATGACAGGGTATGAAAATTAGAAATTTAATAAGTCCGTAAGTTAGGTAATGAAAAAATATTAAACACGTATTTTTTATTTTGTCGTATAATAAAACAATATTTAGATAAAACTAATCAAAGTTTAGGAGTGGAGGCTAAAACGTCATTTCTACATATATAAAATGTACTAAAAGTGACATCACCCGACATTTTAAATCAATTTATCGTCGAAAGTATTAGTTTTTGTAAGAAAACAAAAAATACGTGTCTAATGATTTAAAATAATCTACCAGACGAACATTTAAGTCGTTGAGTACCGTCATTATAGACACAATTATAGAACAATAGGTTGCGGTCATCGGTGACCGCGCGGTGTTTGACAGTTTAAATAAAAATTAGGCAACAACCTTATTCCACTTAGTGACGATGTGTGAAGCATTCAAGCATATTTGTATGATTAAGTAAATGAAGATGGGAAATCGGATAAAGAATGTGATGACAACAATAAGCGGTAATTGTCGATACAGTTAATATGTGTGACTGCCTCGTTGGCCGAGTATTCCCAAGTGCGACTGCCGGGTAAGGGGTCTCGGGTACGATTCGAAAGGAATTACTGGGTTATTAAAAATTCTCAGTAGTAACACGGAGTCTGGAATTGTGTCCGGTATATGGCAATAGGCACACCCCCATTACATGGGACTCATAATATAAATAGTTAAAAGTGGTACTAAGTAGCCGTAGTGTGCACCTCTGTCTACATAAAAGGCGTGATACTATGTCCATGTTTAATATGTGCTAAGTACTAACAGCCGATTCATCAAAAGATAGTATTTTGTAATTGATTCAGCTTCCTAAGTAAAGACAAGAAATAATACCATACAAAATACAGCATAAACAACCAATGAAACACATAGTACATAACATCACGCCTTTTATCTGCGAAGGGGTAGGCAGAGGTGCACATTATGCTATAGTGCAATGTAACACCTACTTTTCACTATGTATGTTTATGAGACCCATGTAATAGGGGGTGAGCGTATTACCATATACCGGGCACAATTCCAGACTCCGTGCTACTACTGAGACTTTTTTTAAAACCCAGTAATACTTTGCCCGACCCGGGAATCGAACCCGAGACCCTTTGCCCGGCAGTCGCACTTGCGACCACTCGGCGAACGAGGCAGTCTAAAATACATAGTAAACTATACAAAATGCTAACCAATAAAATAGATTATATCGACGCTAGTTCAAACAGCAAACTGGAGCCGTGTTAAATGCGAATATTGAACTGAAAACTTCAAGGTATTACTGCCACCAAACCGATGAAGCGTATACTCTGAGAAAATGCATTGTTCAAACGAAATTGTCTTTTGTTCTACGGTACTGAGTATCATAAAGAGGGTAAGCAGATAACTTGTATTGTGTGTATGTGGGTATACGTAGTTGCAAGTATTACGTAGTTTGTAATGCTGTATTCAATTATGTTGTTTCATGATGGAGAAAAGTGAGAAAAGAAGATAGAAAAGAAGAGAGAAAAGGAACTTATATATCCAAGTTAGTGCTGACTGCCTCGTTAGCCGAGTGGTCGCAAGTGCGACTGCTGAGCAAGGGGTCTCAGGTTCGATACCCGGATCGTTCAAAGTATTACTGGGCTTAAAAAAAATCTCAGTAGTTGCACGGTGTCTGGAAATGTGCCCGGTATATGGTAATAGACTTACCTCCTATTACCTGGGACTCATAACATAAATAATGAAAAGTGAGTGTTACATTGTACCGTAGCATTAAGTGGCGTAATCTGTACCTGTGCCTACCCACTAAGGGATAAAGGTGTGATGATATGTTATGTGTATAAGTTAGTGAGTACAAGGGTCTTAGGAGGTTTTGATTTGTAGTGTCTATCAGGCCCAATGATAAGTGGGAAAGACTTTAAAAATTCTCCATCCCAAAACAAATCTAGCATCGGAACTTTTAGGTCAATAGTGTGCTTACTTAACTAATAGTGCAATAATATATAAACAATATAAAAGTATTAATACATATAAAAGAAACTATAACGAATATTACTGAAAACTAGAATTAATAACAGGAACGAGGAAGTCTAAAACAATTAATTACAACAAGACACGATAATAAACACACACGACGCTTTAACAAATAAATCGTGACTGAAGCAAAACTAATAAAAAAACTCGAATAAAAATCACGCGAGGCGATAAAATGAAAAAGAAAAAAACAAACAAAAAAAGACATTTACCACGTGGTCCGAATAGGTGGAAGATAGTAGAAATATTTACCATTGACTTAAGTAAATCTCGAACGGCTTAATTTTTATACAAGCCGCACGAGATTTACTTGTGTCGACGGTAAGTTTTACGACTTCGGGTTTCCAACTTCTACTAGCGAAGCGGGTATTACGCCCGACTGCAGCGAGATAACTGCCTGCCGTACGACCGGGTTGCCACGCTCCAGAATTGATTTTTAACCCATTTGCGTGATTCAATGTTTTGTAACGGATTTTTATTATTTTTATTTTGTGTCGTCGTGTGTTTATTAAGCAATTACGTTATTATGTTCGTGTTGTTCGTAATTATAATGCTGTAATTAGTTTTGTCTTTCTATTATTATATTTTTGTTAGTTTTATTCTTATTCACGGATTTTGTTCCTCTTTTGTATTACCTGGTTGTTCTGTTTCAAAAATAGAATGCTTAGGATAAATTTGTTAATTTTAAAGTGCTTATTATTACGCTTTTGTTGGCCATATTTAAGACTCTTATCTATTTAGGTTAAATTCAACAGATTCTTATAAACAATCGTTCTATTGATACGTCCAATAAATTATAAACTTCAATATTTTACTTGCATGTATTGTAACTTTCGTATTTTTCCTCCCCAATTCCCGGGAATAATCCTCGCACTAGCAACACAGCTTTATATTAAAATGCGCGCTACCGAAGCAAAATGGAACTAGAATGTAACACTGAAGGCCGGTGACGTATGCCTTCAGAACTTATTTAATTCCTTCAAATTAATATAAACAAGCCATTGTATACCTTAATCACAGTCGCATACGATCCATTCTACTGTAGTTATTACTTTCTTTCGTTTGCGGCAAAGTGCAAGGTAGTTTAAACTCTGCATTAGAGGAAGTAGGGTTCAATATCTGTTGTCTAATGATTTAGATGGGGTTCATACGAGAGCACTTGTGTCATAATAAAATGTTCATAGCATTTTAATTGGTTGATAATGATTTTGAATGTACCTACATTATACTTTGTGATTACGTTTAAGTAGGGAGTAAGTTAGATAACTAAGTGACAGAGTCTTATGTAAAATCACACATACACATAACATCACGCCTTATATCCCCGAAGGGATAGGCAGAGGTGTACATTACGGCACTTAAAGCCACTGTACAATGTAACACCCACTTTTCACTATTTATGTTATGAGTCTAATGTAGTAAGGGGTGAGCATATTGCCATATACCTGGCACATTTCCAGACACCGTGCTAGTGGTGCTACTACTGAGATTAAAAAAAAAACCAGTAATATTTTTCCTGAACCGGGAATTGAACTCGAGACCTCTTGCCCGGCAGTCGCACTTGCGAATACTCGGCCAACTAGGCAGGCTTGTTTAAAATTATTAGAGTGAATATATATTTGACATACAATAGGTCGATAAGCCTGTACT